ACCTCTTTTCACCCTCTGTCTGAAACCAGAGCCCAGTCTGCTCTGATTGGTTCGCTGGCCGGCTCTTNTCTTTCATCAACATGTGTCCACCTTCTTCTTCATGCTCTACTTCTTAATCACACATGTGTCCCCTCTTCTTCATGTCTCTGTCTACATCAACATGTGGTCCCCTTGGTCTCATGTCTCTCGGTAACATAACATGGTGTCCCTCTTCTTCATGTCTCTTCTACATCAACATGTGTCCCCTCTATCTTCACGTCTCTTGTACATCAACATGTGTCTCCCTCTTTTCTGGTCTCTTCCTACATCACATGGTGTCCCTCTATCCCCTCTTCTATCATGGTCTCTTCTACACTCAACATGCTGTCCCCTCTTCTTCATGTCTCTTCTACATCACATTTTCCCCTCTTCATATACATGTCATCATTCGTACGTCACACGCTGTCCCCCTCTTCTTCATGCTCTTTGCTACATCAACATGTTCCCTCTTCTTCATGCCTTTCTACATAACATGTGTCCCTCTTTCTTCACGTCTCTTCTAACATCAACATGTGGGGGGCGTTTGGCAGCCCTCTTCTTCAGTGGTATCTTTCTACATCATAATGCTGGTCCCGCTCTTCTGGTCATGTCTTCTTCTACATCAACACACTCGCTGCTCCCCTTTCTTCCATGTCTCTTCTGCATCAACATTGTGTCCCCTCTTAACTTCATGTCTCTCCTACATCACATGAATGTTTCCTCCCCTCCTTGCATTCAGTGTCTCTGTCTACATCAACATGTGTCCCTTTGTTTCAGGAACAAAGTTCTCTCTCTTTTTTTGCACTCCACTTTCTATAAAACATGGGGTCTAAAATGAGCTGATCAGGATTTTTGGGCCCACTTCCTTATGATGTCATAACGATGTTGGCCTTGGATGTATACCATTAGCAATCAGCAACCAAGGGGTAACATTACGATATGCAAGATAGTGCCTACTATGCTACGATGCCTGAAACGCTACAATACGATGAGCGCCACTTCGAGATATGTGTCGCGCCGTTAAGCGAAATTGGTCCTGGGTAAAATGCGCCAAACATAATTGTTACGATTATATTTTCGTCTTCCAGTATATTGAAGAACGTCTAATCCAATTATCATAGGGTAGGAACGTAAGTATCTATTATGTAAAGACCAGTATCTTAAATGTTGTAAGAACTCACGTAAAGCTACAATGAACGCAAATGTGCCCTTTAGTACAATAACACACAACAATTAAGGAAAATTCCATTCAGACTTTTTCTATTTCCTTTCAAAAGTCCTCAGATTAGATGTCAACTTTTTAAAACAGTGGACAAAGAAACACAGAGAAAGAGAGTCGAGTGGCCCTCTCTGGTCGATTCGTTGCTTATCTGGAAGCTTACTTTGACATCTGACTTGGAAGCCTGCAATGGCAGCTAACTCTTCAGTGCTTTTTAGCAGCGCGGGCGTCAAATAATTGATTAGGATTGCTCTCCCCACCCATGGCTACTCTACCGTGTGTTCTGCCGCGCAGAGAACATGAGCAGGGCTTTGGAAAATCTTTATTTTGGCGTTAGACAAGCGTCAGGAAGAAAAGGTTTCAGGAGCAACAAACATTTTCAAAAAAACATTCAGCTCGGTAGAAATCAAATGTTGTGATCCTTGGGAAATTTTCTGTTTCCTGTTTTAAAAGATCACATTCCTTGCTCTACTTATATACTGGTTACAGGCATATCTCGCTAACAGGGGAACTAATCACGGACAAACACAGCTGTCCAGAGGGAAGAACAAGTGCTGCTTAATGAAACGAACTAAGAACGCCATCACGCCAACATTAGCCACCTTTAGCTTAGCGGTGTGAAGTCGCATGTGACCGTGCTGTAGTTCTTTATAGCCCATTCATTAGCCTCCTTTAGCTTAGCGGTGTTGACGTGAAGTCCATGTGACAGTGCTATAGTTCCTTTATAGCCCAACATAGCCTCCTTAGCTTAGCGGTAGGTGACGTGACGTCATGGACCGTTGTACGACTAAACATCATCACGCCCAACATTAGCTTCCTTTAGCTTAGCGGTGGTGAAGTGAAGTCATGTGACCGACCGTGTTGTAGTTCCTTTATAGCCCAACATTAGCCGCCTTTAGCTTAGCGGTGGTGACGTGAAGTCATGTGACCGTGCTGTAGTTCCTTTATAGCCCAACATTAACTTCCTTTAGCTTAGCGGTGGTGACGTGAAGTCATGTGAACGTGCTGTTATTCCTTTATAGCCCAACATTTGCTTTTTAGTTACTTCAAATCATAAAGTGATGTTAATGTGTCGAGATTATCCTGCTGGAATAACCTCTAAATATCATACGTGTGTTTCCTACAAATTCCCCTGCAATCGTCCAGAATCCTTTATTGCAGCATATGTCGGGGCTGGTTCAAGGCAAGCCTGAGCTACAGCGAGACAATAACACATGTAAACATGGCCGTGTGTGGAGGCGGACACACAGAAAAGGGAGAGACAGGTGAGAGAAGCGGCTCTTCCTCCAGCAGTGTGAGGAGACTGGTGTTCGGCAGCTAGGAGACCCAGCGGTCATCCATAGACCTTCATATTGCTGTCAATGAAATATCTGCCCATGGACACAGAGCTGAGGAGTGACGCAAGGGCAAACTCTGCAAGAGAAACTAGACGGAGGTTATAGAGCACAGATAAGCAGCGGAGGAAAGAAGTATGTGGACTTTTGACTCTGAAAACCAGTCATTTTTATGTAACTGTACTTAAAAAAACATAATTTCAAGTTTCAAGAACCAAAGTCACATGATGTCTTGTGAAACTTTATGAGATGGTAACTATTAGGGTAAGTTTAAATATACCTTGTTTGTTTTTTTTACACGTTTTGAATAGACTGGACTGCATTTTACAGACAAATCTTTACTGAAGATGTTTTTAAAAAAGTGGACTTTTTGAGTCTGATCATCGTTAGTGGACTGCGAGATTAGGGAAATATGTATTTTTAATGTATGCCATGTACTCCCTTAAAATATGTTTGAACTGTGGTTCAATGGTAGAACAAACTGATACTGTTTGCATCATTCATGTGCTGGATGTACTGAATCTCGTGACCTGGCTGTCAACCCTAAATAAGTAAAAAAGATATTCTGGAAAATCTCAGATATTGAAACTGTCACATTTGAGCAGCTGCAGTGGAGGAGAATCTGCAGCAGGAGGTCACAGAGGAGGCGCTGCAGTCAGCTGACACACTTTCTATTTCACCTGCAGAGTGTCAGGTTGATGCGGTCGTAGGACAGCACAAACAAATGCACAATTAAATCAAATTAAATGTCATTATATGAATGTATAGTCAGAATTCTTGTTCTTCGGTATGATTAAAAATCAACCACAATGAACCACCATAAGTCAATGTTTAATACAATCAGGGTCCCTATTATGCTTTATGGGGTTTTCCTTTTCCTCTTGTGTGTTATATGGGTTTGTGCGCATGTAAATTGAAATACAGTCTTGTACCAACACTGAATTTTTAAAGTGTGATATTGTCACTACTATGCCTGCTGTTGGTGACTGAAGGACATTTCTGAAGCCTGCTGTTTTCCCATTGTCAGTGTTGACTGACATAATGTCGTACAATGCTGTCAACACGTCATTTACAGCAGATCGTGTAAATGTTTTGTAGCTGTCCATTCAGTTATATAAGTCTCTCTGTCGTTAAAAATACATACGGCACTACGACATGAAATTATAAAAGCTGATACTCTGAGATTTTATCCATAGTTTAAACTATATATATTGGGAAAAGGCAATTGATAGGGAAGATAAGATCCTATAGCATAATCAAACAGGCGGGAAAACAAAGAGACAGGAAGTACAAACAGACATAAAACAGGGAGTGTCCACATTTCAAAATAAAACACGAAACACTAGCAGATCGTCAAACGGAAAGTTATGAAAATTAAATAAAGCTTTAATTTTCTCAGTATATGTTTCTCCCAGCTACAGTAAGTGTAGTTTTCGTTCTGATGTGAAAGGATGATAAGCATTTGGATTCAAACCAAGCAGTCCTACAGAGNTTCTTCTCGTAGGAAGTAGGATTTTTTTTTTAATTGTTAGGTGCCTGAAATAAGGTCTGTGGTTAACACAAACTTAGAAGATACCACACAAAAATGGTTGCTAACAACCATTTTTGTGTGGTATCTTCTAAGTTTGTGTTAACCACAGACCTTATTTCAGGCACCTAACAATTAAAAAAAAAATCCTACTTCCTACGAGAAGAAGGAAACAGAAGCTTACTAAGTTTAAGGACTCGTTCCTGCACCACTGTAAAGGTTTTAACCGTCAGGAGACCGTCCCCTTTCACCTTCAATCTGTTAACACTCTTCTCCTACTTTTATTTTTATATATCTGTGTTCACTCTCCTATAAATGCATGATAGTAACTGAGCATCCTTGGCAGCATCCGCCGATTGTTGTGTGTCTCTCACCTGGCAGGAAGCTAGTTTTGAAGGTTACTTCTGGATCATGAGTCATGATTGAGACACTTTTTGGTCGGCAACTGAAAGATTTTTGATATCCTCCTCGATCCATCTTTTTCATGTGCAGTCATAATTTCCTTTTTGTTTTGTTTGTCTGAATGTATCATCTTTTATAATCTATACACACAACAGCTATTGCTCTTCTGGGATCCCTCCTGTTGCTCTCTCTGAAGTTTCTTCCAGTTTCCCTGTGTCACGATCTGTCTGTGCTTTTCCCTTGTTTATTTTGTAATGTCACAATCTGTCTGTTTTCCTGTTTTATTTTGGAAAATGTGTTTTTCTTCTCTCCCCACCTGTCCTTGTGATTAAGTCTTGCAGTCAGTTAGTCTCAACCCTTGGCACTTTGTGAGTCATTCCTTGTGCACTGTGAGGGTCTAAGGACAAAGGGAGACCCTGTAAAGCCCCCTAGACAGATGAGTAATTTGCTCGGCTATAAAAATGCAATATGATTGATAGTTGTGTCATTTTCATGGCAGGTTTGGCGAAGCCCATGGGTCTGGTTGAGGGTCCCGGAGGTCTCGGTCAGGGCGGGGCTGCTGCCACTCTAGGGGAGGACAGTCTCGATGTGGAGGGGAAATACGAGGAGTACGGATACAACGCTCAGCTCAGCGACCGCATCTCCCTGGACCGGAACATCCCCGACTACAGGCCCAAGAAGTAAGTCTCCTCTGTCTCTGTTAGGGAATCATTTGCTTAGGTATTCAACCTCTGACACGGTTCATCGTTTTCTTCTCTCACTGTCTCTTTTCCCATGGCATAGGTCTACGCCCTTGGGTATTGCTGCTATCTCTCTTAAGGAGGGGCAGCTTGGGCGCATTGTTGATGCCAGCTTATGACCGAGCTTAAGCTGCCATTAGATTTTTATGTTCAGGGACATCTGGATGCCCTTCTTTTCTGTTCCCTGCCGCACATTCTTTTCTATGGACGACAGCTCTAGTTAGATTCAGGGTCCATATTTGTTTAGTCTCGCTGATGAGGAATGTTGATTATTACACTCTGAACTAGTTAAAACCTCGAACTACAGACGAGTTCTTCAGAATTGCTTTAGCATCCTCTGTATCACCTCGTGGCTCAGCACATGTCTTGTGAATTATCCGGCCGAAGCTCCAAATAAACCATTATTTGTTTGCCATCAAAGTTCCTGTCTCTTGAGTCCTGTCTCCATTGCTTCAGAAGTTTCCATCAGAGTCTCGTACTTTCTCCTTCCTGCTATACCGCCTTGGCTGTTTCCCCCCGGCAGCGCTGTGTAATGTCAGAGAGACTTGTAACTGAAAGGTTTGCCGGTTTCATCCCTGCTGAGGTTGATGGACTCTATTTTTGTGAAGGCACAAAGTGTACAGCAGGACGCTTTCTACTTCTTCTCCTTCTTCTTTCTTTTTCTTGTTATCCTATTATTCTTGTTATTGCTCTTCTTCTTCTTCTCCTTCTTCTTTTTGTCCTCCTTATGTTGTTTCTCTCTATTTTGGTGAATCCCCAGGAAATATACCGTACTAAAAGAGAGCTGCAGTTCAGGGCTTGTCAGAAATAATAATGTGTGAAGGTAAATTGTGGTGTTGAGGATTATTGAAATGGACACAAACATCCAGCAGGCTGAGTCCAGGTCAAAAGTGCATGGCACACTCATGCTGTTTTTATGCTTTCACTAAGTAAGGACATCTGAAAAGCGTATTTTTCTACAGTTCACCAGCTGGGTTTGGTTCCCATTAGGATACATATGAGCAAATCTGATATCTTCTTTCTCAATATGGTGTTATAATAGCATCCAACTCAGCTTCTTACTTTAGGTTTTATTCAAGGTGCTTCCTAATGCTTTCATTTTTATTCAAGACCACTAAAACACCTTTGCTAATGGGATTTATGGAATGTCCCATGGATCAGAAAACTGCCTCTCATTTGTTTCCAGAACAAATGCAAATGTCACCCTTGCAAATGTAATGGCTTCCAGCAGGGGACATTCCTACACCTGATGGTTTATGACGTTCATTTTGTGCTGGCCTCCCCTAGTTTCCCAGTGGTACATTTGCACAAATTCAAAATGACACGCGTCACAGCGCAGATTTAATTTGTTTTGTGCTAAAAACACAATTAAAACAACCTCACTTCTGTCATGTTTGTCATTTCTTTCACAATGGTCCCATTAATGCTAACAGGTAACGTCAGCGTTTTTTCCACGCGGATGCACCGTGGAGAAATTGTTTATGATACCCTGCAGAGTTGATTTAGCAGCGTATGCTCCAGCGTCCCTGATGACATGATCATATTTATACAGTATATTAAATATTTAACGCTGCCAACTTTTCCTCCACTTCCCAGACATTTCTCATCCTCTGTGCCTCCTCATTAGGGAGATTCAAAGGAATGCTACGACCTGCATCTAGTGGGTCAGATAGCAAGCTAATCTGTTGGCATGTTCTGCAAAGGCTGACAATACAAGAGAAAGCAAGGTTTTATTTTTATTAGAAAGGCATTGGACTTTACCAACTTCAATATCTGATATGTTTCCATTTGGACATTTTTAATGAAGCTGGGTGACTTACAAACACTTTAAAGCAGTGCCTCTCAAAGTGTGGTCCGCGGACCACCTGCGGTCCGTGACCGCCCCCTAGTGGTCCGTGAGTATATTGGTAAGATTTCACATTTGAAATAAATAAATGAATTTAAGTTTTCCGCACTCTCGCGGGAATATCTCTGCAATGGAGCGAGCTTAAGTTTCACTTTCAATTGCATGATATAGCCCAGCGCAACACCTTCATCACACATGTTGCCTCTTGGTTGTACCATTTTAAGGCGATTTGTAATCTGTTCTCGAAAAACGATGTGATTTTAGATATTTGTGGAGTTAGGTGGTCCGTGAGTGTTTTTTTATTGGTTAAGTGGTCCTTGGTATGAAAAAGTTTGAGAAACACTGCTTTAAAGCATTGGACGGGGGAATACTGTGATAAATACAACTAAAACACCCTTGGCGTTAAGAAGTAATTGCAGGTGTATTTTTGGACCAGAGATCCAAACAGTGCCTTTCCTGGGAATAGCGCAACAGACACCTATCATAATACTAAGTAAGTAAGTAAGTAAAAGTTTATTTCTAAAGCACCCCTCCCAGCACGAATGCACAGAGTGCTGTACAAAATATAGCAGTCAAAACAATTAGGCCAATATGGCACTAA